TTGGTAATGATCATACGCATATAAGCACTTGACACTGTGGGTTGATTTATGAGTAAGATGCGACTTTAGAAGAGTTTCTAACAGTTTATCTCTATATGTAAAAAATATCTTTTTCAAGAAGTTTCTATCCGGATGGCAAAACCTCTGTAAACTTCGGACGAAGAGCAAAAAGCAGTTGTAACTATACCTTGATATCTCATATTACCGTATTTCTGTATATTATATTGTTTGCTGTTGAAAAAGGCTGGTTCTCTCAGTTGTAACTTCGGCCCTGTACAAAACCTTTTGTCCCGCGTATGATCTGAATATCGTTATATCTTTCTATGGATGATACTAGTTTGAAAAGCAACTGTGAATGTTCTGAAATTTTTGTCAAAGAACTGCGCATAAAAGCAAACAACTTTTTTCACGATTTCCCCAAAACTTTTCTAGGAGCAGATTTTACTGCCTGTTGCGTCATTTCATTGCTCCTAGTTGTGTGGGGACATTTAAGCAGGCCGGGGTTCCATGATACTTGAGCATCCCAAATGATAGGTGCATGTTGCATGAATGGGTTTTCTTTAACAATTTTGTGCTCATCACGAAAAATGTTTCCGTTATCTAGTAACAGCCTGTAGCCCTTATCTTCCCGACAACAGCATCACTTCCTCAGCAAGACGAAGATATGCAACTCTAGTTATTGTAACCCACCAGTTCTCGGGAGTTTCCTTCAGGGAAACTTACTTCTACTGGTAACAGAGACCTTTTTTAAGAGGTCAACGAGTCAGACAAGGAGAAAACCACTATCATAATTCAGCTTGGATTACATCATATCCGACTCATGCCATTTCGGTTGTTCAATGCATTTGGAACGTTCCAACGGCGGATAGAGTGCATACTGGCAGAACGTCTGTCTCATCTAGAAGACATCATCGTTTTCAGCAGGGCGCAAAAAGAGCACTGTCGTAGTTTTTAGGCTAAGGGAAACAGGACGAAGTAAAGACCAACTAGTGTGCACTCTTCCGAAAGACGGCAAATTACCTGGGTCACGTGGTGTTTCCAGTTGTATTCGGAATTGACCAGAGAAAATCAACGTCGTCACTTCCTGACCCAAACCGTCGAGTGCCAATGAACTTAAGAAATTTCTATGGCTCGCCTCATATTACAGACGGTTTATTCGGAATTTTGCCACCCCACTGCACCGGTTGGCGAACAGTATGTGAAGAAAAGGATGCAGCTGGGCAGCAGAATGCGATGTCGTGTTTGCCACGCTGAAAGAAACACTAGTGAGCACGCCGCCGGTATCCGTTCTTTAAAAAGCAATTCGCTTTGGTTTCGGATCCAAGTGGCAATGGTCTAGGGGTAGTACTGTCACAACGCATCGACGACGAGGAACTCTTAATCGCGTACCTGAATAGAACCTGGCCAGAGACGAGAAACGCTACTGTGCAACACATTAAATTTTGATACTCGTCTCGGGAAAACGACTATGCGTATGTTATTTGCTCGAACTAACCATAACAGTCTCCAATGGTTATGCTGCTTCACGAAACCAGAACGAGAGGTGGCCCATTGGACGCAACTCTTAACACAGTTCGACTATGATATCAAGTATAGGCCGGGCAAAATATATCAGAGTAGATGCATTGTCCCGTAGATGCAAACAGTGTGATGTCTGTATGGCGGCAGTGAACACGCGTCCCGCCGGCAGCAACTGAGAGTCTCTGGTTTAAAACCCTCAGAATGACATCCTAGCGGCTCTGTCATACTTTCTGATTTGAAGCGACCAGATTCGTCTTTACCGGCTCCCAAGGCCGGATGAAAAACGAAATGCGCCGGAGATCGTGGCGAGGTCTCCGTAAAAAACTTCGCCACCTGCCCCTCATTACTGCCGTCGTCTAAGATTTTATCCGCTCGGTCATCGTCCGGGGTTCCAAGGTTCGCGCTGATGTTATGGGACTGAAGTAGACTACGAAAAGTCGACGATCAGAACCTGCTCATTGTCTTCTGGTAGCCGGGGGCGTAGCAGCACGACAACTGCTGCCGAAAGTCGAAGAAACGACGACGAAGATGCCAATCAGCAACAGAGCCATTATCCGTTCTGAACGGAGGCAGACAGCGTGATGCCATTATAGCACGTCAGAAAATCTTCCACGTGAACGACACGGCCAGTGAGAGCTTAAGTCGGAAATTGGAATGTATCCTCACTCAGATGGAAAGAACAGAACAGGTGTTAGTTTTTGAGGCCGCAAGATACCTATTCGACATAGTTCAACTCTCGAGAGCGAGGTAAAAAGCTCTGGAATTCTGAACCTCTACGGGCGGAAACAACTTTACTCAGGCATCGACATCACAACGCGCATTCAGGCTGGTATTGGACTTCTTGTAGAATCCAACCTGGCTTACAGAACCATTGAATAGAACCCTGTCAAACGAAAGGATACCAATCTTCAGACTAAAACTGCAACAGTCTAAAGCTCTGACCGTGTCAGACATTTGTGCGCCTAATTTGGAGGGAAGGCGAGTCCTTACGTGAGAAAATGAACGGTGCTCTGTACGAAGTGCCTAATACGGAGTCCTTCATTCTAACGGGCGCTTTCAATGTTCCTGTCGCAGTAGACACTGACAAGTGGAAAGGCGTAATTGGAAAGAATAGCCCTAGTAACTTCACCAATAACGGCATGAAGTTGTTGCGGTTTTGTGCAAACAACGGTGTCCATTATGAGTATCTTCTTCGAGCATCAAAGAGTGAATCAGTACACCTGGTACAGGGACGCTTGTGCACAAACGTCGACGATTGATTTGATAATCCCATCGTCTGACTTAAGACGCTCAGTAATGGATGTTCGCGTTAAGAGATTCCCAGAGCTGTCAGCTGATCATCACTTTGTTGTAAGAACACTGCGCTGCGAGCAATGGAG